TAGAAGAAGAAAAAGGTAAATATAAAAATTCTGAACAACAAACAAATACATATCTATCAACTAGTGACTCTAAAAATCAAGTGAATAAATAATCGGATGAACAGAATAAACTGGTGACAATAATAGAATCAGGGGCTTAGAAAGGGAGTGGACTGACTATTCTTGGGGGGGGGGAAGGGGGGTAGGGGGTGCGGGAAGAGACTGGACAAAAATCGTACACCTATGGATGAGGACAAAGGTGGGGGTAAGGGCAGGGGATGGAGTGGGAACTGGGTGGAGGGGAGCTAGGTGGGGGGAAAGAGGAACAACTGTAATAATCGGAACAATAAAGATTTATTAAAATAAACTGCAAAAACAAAACAAAACCAAAACACTGAGTTGTACTCTTTTTTAATTCTTCTAACGAACTCTAACTCTATCTTTTTCAGGAGAATGAAAAAAGATAACTCAAACAAGTTATACCCTTTTCTCTCAAATCACCTAATAATTAAGCCCATCTTGGGATGTCCAGAGGTGCAACAGCATTATGGGATCATCTCTGGGGGGGTGGAAGAGTAGAAAGTGAGCTAACCATCAGATTAATGCCACACTATCCCTCCTTCTAGCTGCTGCTTGGAGTTGAGTGACTTCATAGACCAAAGAGAAGTGTATCAGTTTAAAGTTTTTGACAATTGCTAACCTTTAAAATATCACAGCAATTGCTAGAAACCAGAAAAGGCAAGAGGATGGAGGTTAAGCACCAGGGAGTTGCAAAATCGTTCTCAAATTGAAACACTAAAAAGTTCCCTTGAAAAGAAAACTTCGGGGAGAGGGAGTGCCTTATGACAAACCTTTTATTGTAACTTTGGAAACAGATAAGGCTTTCACAGCAGTGCTAGAACCCCTGATAGGACCTGATCATTCAGCAAAAGAACTCTAACAAATTAACCTCTGTAGTCACTATCCCATTTATAACAGCTGTAATTGCTGTAAGAATAGACAACAGGCAATGAAAGGCCCTCTGACAAAATGCAATACTGTGGATTCTGATGACAGCCCCACATCTCCTGACTGGCTTACCACACGAGTGCACACAGAACCATCAGAAAATGAAAATTGGAGCTATGTCGTCCACAAACCAGATGGAAACAATGACCTGACAGATAGTCAGTTTTGAAGGAAGAATTATGCTCCTATGGGGACGGAAGTCCTTATCAACACAAGTCAAGACCAAATATTCAGCAGCTGCATTCTGAAAGGAAAGAAAGCTAATGCTAACACACAACCAGAAGGGACACTGTATATAAGAAAATAAATTCACAAATACTAAAAAAAAATCTTTATTGTTGAGAGTATTACATGTCATCCACCACTGTCCCATCCCACTGGTTCCTGCCCCACCCCAGGCCTTCACCATCCTATTGGCTGTGTCCATAGGTGATGCATGTATGTTCTCTGGTCAATCTCTTCCCTCCCCCCCTCACCCCTTCCTTCTGAGCTTCTGTTCCACGTTTCCATGCCTCTGGTTCTATTTTATTCATCAGTTTATTTTGGTCACTAGATTCTTTATTTTGAGTTTCAGATTCAATTGTTAATAGATATGCATTTATTGGCATTTTATTGTTCATATTTTTAATCTTTTTTCTTCTTCTTCTTAAAAAAGACCCTTTAACATTTCATATAATACTGGTTTGATGGTGGTGAACTCTTTTAGCTTTTTCTTGTCTGTGAGATTCTTTATCTGACCTTCAATTCTAAAGGGTAGCTTTTCTGGGTAGAGTAATCTTGGTTTAGGTTCTTGCTATTCATCACCTTGCATATTTCTTGCCACTCCCTTCTTCCCTGCAAAGTTTCTGTTGAGAAATCAGCTGATAGTTTATGGGTGCTCCCCTGTAGTTAACTAACTGCTTTTCTCTTGCTGCTTTTAAGATTCTCTCTTTGTCTTTAACCTTTTACATTTTAATTATGATGTGTCCTGTATGGGCCCCTTTGAGTTCATTTTGTTTGGGACTTTCTGAGCTTCCTGGACTTGTAAGTCTATTTCTTTCACAAGATAGGGGAAGTTTTCTGTCATTAT